TCACTGGCCCATGTTGGTATTGTCATTGCGCTCTTCCTGGGTGAGGCAGTCGCTCACTGGCCCATGTTGGTATTGTGATCATTGTGCTCTTCTAAGGTGAGGCAGATTGGTCGCTGGACATTGGACGGCCGCTCACAGTGGCTCACGGCAGCTCACGCTGGCTGCTGGGCACTCACACTGGCTGTTGGGTGCTCACACTGGCTGCTGGCTACTCATGGTAGCTTACGGCAGCCCACTGCAGCCCCACTGCAGGCTACGCCATCGCCTCATGGCAGCCCAGCTCCAGGTTGAGCTGTTGTTCACCATCTTAGCTGCAGAGGGTGCAGCGTCACTGGCCCTCATGTGGGATCCGAACCGGGTCCCTGCTGCTTAGAGCTGGTGTCCCAAGCCAACTCTTAACCAGCGTGCCACTCGGCTGGCCCTCATTTACAGGTTTAAAAAAAAATATCTACTATGTGACAGGTACTGTTTTAGGTGCTGGGGATAAAGAGATGAATAAGATAAAATCTGTGCCCTCAAGTAGTTGACAGTGCGTGTGTAATGAGATTATAAATGTAAACCGAGTAGTGGAGGAGAAGGGGAGGCAAACTTTGCTTGAGTGAGTCAGGGGTGGCAGGTGGAGTGGCAGTGGGTGGATGAGGACGACTGGTGTGAGTTTAGAAGACCGTTGCATCCTCTTCGCCTCAGGACCGCTGTGATGAAAGAGCCTGGATGTGCTAAGGAAGTAGGGTCAGCTAAGTCAAGGAACCTTTGCCAGCCCATGATCTCTCACTGCACTAGGACAACTTAATTGAGAACCACTGGTCTTCATCTAACGTCATCCATCACACTCCCTTTTCCTTTGAAATCTAGATAGACTTTAAAAAATAGTGTGATTTGTTATGATTTGCCTACAATGGAGAGAGTCCTTAACACTAACAGTGACTGAGCTACGTGGAAAAGTCGGGAAACTCGTGCTTAACAAGTGGTGGAAGTCAGAGGCAGGAAGACACGAAATACTTGGTTGTCAGGTGTAATTGTGGAGGGCTTTCTCTATAGGTGGGCAAAATTTTTTTTTTACATTTAGGAAGTCTGGGAAAATTAGGTCAAATGCTGCTCTACCGTGCAAAGTAATGAGAATAGGTAGTAGTATATTGCAGAAAAATGAAGATTTTTATAGAGCAAGGCAATCTGGGGATTTGGTGTAATTAGAGCAGATGATTTAGGGTGATGAGAAGGAGGAATTGAACAGGTTTCTTTGTTCTTTACATTTTAATATTAGTAATTATTATGTAGTCTTTTAGGGCTAGTAGCTTTGTAATTTCTTGGTGTTTGACATTGAGAAAGGAGGCTAGCAGTTTTTGCATACAAGTGCTCCATAATTTTTGCAATATCATCTGATTGAATGCAAATGTCTTATAATGTGAACTTGTTTATATTGAATTTATATCATATGCCAAAAGTTCCTGAGAGAACCTATGTTTGATTTAGAAAGACTGCCAATTTTGGAAAATCTCTCTTTAGTTACTGATTTCTCTTACAGGGTGGCTGAAACTGAAAAGAATCTTGAAGAAACCAAGAACAGATCGACCATGTCCCTTTTGGCTGCAGAGGAGGAAATAAGTCAGCTAAGAAATCAGTAAGAAAAAGAAATGGCAGGGTTATTGCAGCCTGCTGATTAATCTTTAAATTTAGCTTTTGGTGTTCCATCAAGATATGAAAGAATCTGTTTACAGTCAAAGAGGAAAGGCAGCAATATTTTTATTGGTGTTTTATATATTTTTCTTACTACAAAAACATTACTTATCTACTAGAGAAAAATTTCAAAGTACAATATGGTATAAAGGAAACCAAAAACCCTCTTGTAATTCCAGAATCACTTACTGTTACCATTTGATATATATTCCATTTCATACATTAAAAATAGAGTTGAGACTGCAAAATAAGTATGAATTTATAATTTTGGATCCCATTTTTTCTTTTACTAAAAAAAAATAATAAAATACTGCAGAACTTAGTTTTGAATGTGTGTGTATCATGTTCCATTGTTTGGGTATTTCCCTAATATTGACTATTTTGATACCAGTTTTCAACACTGGAAACAACATTGTGATAATTTTTGTGGCAAATCAGTTTAAATTTCAGATTATTCTTTCTAGGTAAATTTCTAGAAGGGGAAATAGATACTGCTCCTTTAAGGTTATACCTTCCTTGATCTTAATTTTGATTTTTTCCCCCCCAAAAAAAGCAAGTGGAAATTGTATTAAAATACATATATGTAAATACATGTATGAATACCGTTCTTTTGCCTTCACACATGTTCCAATTGTTCTGATTTCTTCAGAAACACCCATAAATTTTAGCTTGGAGCACCATTGTATTTTCCATTTCTATCTCCCCTCTCATCATTTTAGTCTATTAGTATTAGCACCAATACTAAGGCATCCCTTCTCAAATACATTGATCATACTACTCAGTGATTTCCAGTAGCACCGACTCTGTTCTTTACTGTTTGTAGCGCAGCGTTTAATTCTGCTGTTGCCTTTTTAGCTTCTTACATCCTTCTCAACTTGACCCCTTACCTTTTTCATCTTACACCATTGTCTTTTCATCACAGCGTGTCCTCTTCTTATGGCCTTTGCTCCTTTTTTATGATGGCCATGCCTCTTTGTATCTTTATAAGGGTGCCAATTTTACTTCCAAAGCTTTGTATGAAAATACATTATTTTCATAAGTCCACACTTCCACCTAGTACTATGGATGTTATTCAATTTCCATTGTAGTTTCCCCCATATTCTATCTGTGTAGAGAACGGAAGAGCTAGCGAGGATAGCAGATTATGTTTTTGCCCATCTCCTGGGTTGGGTTTTGGAGGTCAAATGTTTCCAGAGTTTCGTACAGTTAAGATCAGTCCAATATAGAACAGTATGACTGTAGGCCCACTCTGGTTTTGCTAGAGATCTGCATATGCCTCTGTTTTCTTCAAGTGCCTTTTTCCATGCAAGCTGCAGACATGGAGTGGCCCCCTGACCCTGGCAAGTCTACTCTGTTAATTTGTGTGTTCTTGTATATTTCCATCAGAGTTTCCTCAATGCAATAATGGCATACGAAGTAGAGTAACCACTGTTGTTAAGTATGCCCATTGTTGTCTATTACTTTTTCCTCCATCCCTCCCTCCTTCTCTTTTCTTTTTTCCTTAATTTTTTTTTCTCTTTTGCTGTTCAGGCTTAAAACTCTTCAAGCCCAGGAGGAGGCCCGTAACAAGAACTCAGAGCAAAGAGGCTTGGCGCGTAAGAGCACAGAGCAGCGGGGTGTAGAGTTTAGGAGCCCTGATCAGAGAAGCTCAGAGCCTAGCAGCCTGGATCAGAGAAGCTCGGAGCCTAGGAGCCTGGATCAGAGAAGCTCGGAGCCTAGCAGCCTGGATCAGAGAAGCTTGGAGCCTAGGAGCCTGGATCAGAGAAGCTTGGAGCCTAGGAGCCTGGATCAGAGAGGCTTGGTGCCTAGGAGCCTGAATCAGAGAAGCTCAGAGCCTAGAAGCTCGGAGCCTAGAAGCTTGGAACCTAGGAGCCCAGATCAGAGAAGCTGGGAGCCTAGAAGCTCGGAGCATAGAAGCTTGGAGCCTAGNCCCAAGGAGGTTCCCATGTTTGGTTGTGACTCAGTTCCAAAGGTGTGAATTCCAACACTGTGCTGGATGGGGACAGGTCTGCCCAGGTTTGGTGAACCTTAGCAAAGGAAGACCGCTAGATTTTATGCCTGGACTCTGGCTAGATACCTCCCTTTTCCTCATTTCCTATATCCAATCTATCAGAATATCCAGTTGAATCTGCCCCCTAAGCGTCTCCCACATTTGTCCCTTCCTACTGACATTGCCCTGATACCTCTTGCCTCAACCCGTTGCTTTCCAACTGGCTTCCCTGTTTCCATTCTTGCTCTACTACAATCCATTTTCCACACAGCAAAATAGATATATTTTTATCGTATCAAGTCACTCCCCTGCTTAAAAGCTGTTAGTAACCTCCTAGAAAAAAGTCCTAAACTCCTTGCCAAGGCTCTCCCAATGATGCATGATCTGGCCTTACCGCTCGCCCCACCCTCACCTCTTGCCAGGCTCCCCTTGCCTAGTCTATCGTCTCCGTCTTCACGTTGAGGCCTTTGCCTGCGCTTTTTCAGAAAAATGGAAGCCTTCTGCTGGCGCTTTGCATGGCCAGCTCTTTACTATCCTTCAGATCTCAGCTGAAATGTGACTTTTCAGAGTCTGTCTGTAATTACTATACATCGAAAGGTCTTTCCTCTCCCCTCTTTTAATTCTTCTTCACAATGATCTAAGAGTAGCACTCATTCTAATTTGCAACTTTAAAAATTTGTTTGCATATTTATGATCCACTGGACTGGAAACTCCAAAGGGTTACTGCCTTGTATTGCTATTTTGACACTGTCTTATCTCCAGCATCCAGCATTGTGCTTGCTTGGCACACAGTAAATTCTCAATAATTTGCTCAATGAATAATAAATATGTAACACATTTAAATAAATATTAACTTGCTTAAAACAACTCTTGCCATATGAAGTACTTCCTTTCTTCTCTCTATATGTCATCCAAGGGCACCAAATTAAGCATGTATGTTTGTTTGCATATATATGTGCTCACACATGAATGCCATGTCTTGAGAGAAAAAAAAAACTACTTTATTCCTGTTCATACTCTCCTTCCTTTCTTAGTCTATCTTCTCCTTTTAATTTTCTACCCTTTTCTCTTGATAAAAATGTTCACTTTCCCATATATACATTTTAGAATCTATGACATATTCACATTTGAATTAGATCATAAAAATTTTCTTCCAAAGTTATTGCTACTATGGCTTCGTATTAAACTTTAGACATTTTGTTTAGTCATTGATTTACAGGTTTTTGTTTTTGTTTTTTAACGATTTTATTGGGGAATTGGGGGAGGGGAACAGCATTGGGGAATCGGGAAAGGGGAGCAGACAAGTTGCTGTCCTTTTGTTCTTCTGTCTAGCTGTGGAGGACGTCGCTTCACTGGCCCATGTTGGTATTGTCATTGCGCTCTTCCTGGGTGAGGCAGTCGCTCACTGGCCCATGTTGGTATTGT